GGGGGGTAGCTTCTGTGTGCAAATATATCTCCCGATGCAATTGCGGCTCGGAAACAGCGAGGCATGTCCTGGGTTACTCTGTGTTCGCCCCCGTCTCTGCGTTGCGCAATGCGGCACTGCGGCTGTACAGTCACAGCGGGCTGAGAGCTGGAGTGAAGGGCAAGGACATCATGGCACAACCGTGTTCCACTTCACTGCCAAAGCGTTGTGTGCTGTGCTGCCTCAAACACGCTAAATATAGACTCTGACAGTCAGTGAGACCTAAAAGTGCGCTTTTCCTGAAGCCCTTTGTTTGTCCTTAAATATACATCAAAGTCTTTCTCTAAAATAGACAGAGCTAAATAAGCAAAAATGTGTCAGCGCTTGACTTTGTCACATGTCATTGCTCCAGTTTAGTTTGTATTGTTGTACCGATGACGACCGAGCCTCCTGCAGCTCGCAGTCTGGCGGGTGGATTTGAAGCGTGTCTGCGAGACAACGTGGAAAACTCTCTCCCTCCCCCCTATCTCTCTTTCTCTCCCTCTCTTTTTTATTCCCTCCCTCCCTCGCTGCACTTAGTTGTGTTTTGCTCGATCGGAGTAGCAATGTGTGAGTCGCACGCTTCAAACTAACGGGGTTGAGCAGAAGCAGGAACAGAGAGCAGCAGATAGAGAGACTCGCTGTTTGGGTTCGTAGATTATTTGATATTTTTAACTCATTTTAACTTAAAACATGCGTCCCTTTTATTAGCGTGCTGTTTCTGGGTTGAGGTTAATTTTCATGCTGTTGTAGTTGGACATGAATGTGCCTGTTGTCTAAATGCTGGCTTTACAGGTCTGTAACTAGCCTACTTTTGCATTTCACGTTTCAGTTCAAATATGTGTAGTACTACATGTGGAGAACATGTTACAACTGTTGATGTAACACAAAGGGAGGGAAGAAATGCCACAAGTCCTCACGTTGTTTGCATGCTAGATGTTTTGTTTTTTTATGTTGCAGACCTGAGGATCTAGAAGCTGGTTCAGCTTTACATGTTGACCTGTTCACTTTCAGCACCAGCAGCAGGGAACAGCTTACTGAACTCAGTGACAACTGAAGGGGGGCTAATGTAGAGGCCCAGATAATAACAGGCCTATAGGCACAGACATGTTGTTGATCAGCTTAACTACATGATATGCTCTGTGTCATACGGTCCTGTTACTTAATGAAGGTTTCCTTATGTGGGACATCTGTTAAAAGTGTGTAAAGTAAATTATTTTTAAGTTAACTTTAACAAAGAACAGAAGTAGACCGAATCAAACACATTTCTCATGGATGTGGACATATTGGGAGCTTTTAATGTGCAAGTAACAAAGTTAAGTAACATTTATTGGAATGTAACACCACTACTGGCAATGCAGTCCTCTGTTATCAGAGTTTTGTGATATCACTTGACTGTGGTTGGTCAGTATTGAGAGCCTGTGCAGAGCCTTGTTTATTATTTGTATTATTAAGCAGATAAGGGGGGGGGGGACTTAACCATAGAGTGAACGCTGGCCAGGAGATCCACAGCTCCCCAGTATAGCTACAAATAAACATCAAGCAAACTTTGAAAAGCGGCTTGATTTGTATTTTAAGTGATCCTTTATAGCTGGATGTGTCACCAGAATACTTATGCGCTTATTTTTACTGGCTAATTATAATCAATTTACTTAATTAATAGACATGAAAACAGTTAATGAAATAACTCAATTTGCATTTAAAAAAACTATTAGTGAAGATTGTATGCTATTGACAATGACAGATACATTCATGTTTTAATTAAATCCCAAGATTACCTTTAAAGGAATTCCCAGGGTTCCAGTCCACTTTCTTGTATTTCTCTTTATCATGACATGAGCCCTGCAGCATCTAGTCTCAAGTAGCATAATGGCATGTGGAAAAGGGAATTATAAAATGGAAAGTTGCATGAAGAGGCAGTAAAAGTAAATTGAAAGCCTGTTAAGCAGACATTTGACAAACATATACAAAATTCAACAATTACCATTGCATCCCTATTTAATTGCCTCATTTAAAAATAAATGTTTACCAACTTCCTTTTGATATTGTATTATACCAGTTATTTAAGTTATTCACCACAGAGAAATCCAATCTGAAAGCATTACATGCAAAAAGCAGCCCATGCTGGGTAAACAAAAATCCAACAAACATCCAATTTCCTTGACCTTTCTGTGGATGTATCTGTGTTTTTATGCATCTGTATTTTTGTGTTTACTTGTTTGCAGATGGGTTCAAAAGCAGCTTCTTTTGTGTTAAAAAGAGGATTGTTTTTGAAAAATCTGTTTTTCCAGAAACCTCTACTCCTTTCCTGATTGGCAGAGTGTAGAGGGAGGAGCCTGAGTCTCCATGTCCCTCTCATGGCTCCACCCTTTCAGCTTATTTGGTGTGCTGCAGACAGAAAGAAAGAAAAATAGGAGTGAAATGAGAGGAGGAGAAAAAAGAGAGAAAAATAGAGAGACAGAGTGAGAGAGCAGCAGGTGGGATGACATAATGTGCACTGCAGCAATACTGCAGCAGCATTGAAACAAAGGGTCACACTCACACAGCATTAAAAACATATTTTTTGTTAGATGTACACTTTGTTACATACACACACACAGTTTCCCTAGCTACCAAGTCCCCATTGTTGGTAATGGAGATTTATTGGATTTCAACTCTGATTTATTCTGCAATATTAAGTCCTTCAAAGAAAAGCTTATAGCTGCTTTAAGTAGGATTTACTAAAACATCAAATGTGTCTGCTTGAATACAACAAACAAGTGGCCAATGCTAACAGCTCTATGTGACCCCTCTTCATTCCTTTAGATACCCAGTTCAGGATGTCCATCCTGGAGCGACTGGAGCAGATGGAACAGAGGATGGCTGAGATATCCAATCAGAATCCCAACTCAGAAACCATGGCAACCAAGGGCGGAGGAGTGGGGGGAGGAGGGGCCACCGATCAGCAGTCTCAAGTAAGGCAGAGAAGAAGTGATTTGTAGCTTAGGTGAAATGTTCCTTTTTGTATTGGTGATCTTACACAGCATCAAGCAGGCAGTACAAGTAAACAAGATTAAACAAAACTTTTTTTCAGTCATAAATGTTTAATTAAAACCTTTAATGTTTGAGTTCCTTAGATTAAATTTGAAGACTGCATGATGATGTGTTTAAAAGCCTGCAAAAGGAAAAGCTTTTCAGCAGACAAAAATACTAAGAACAAAAGCTCCGACGACTTTAGATTCAGGGAGTTGAGATTTTCTGACATCATTTTACTTTAAATAATTTGAAAAGTAATATATACTAAGACGAATAATACGTGAATTTGTTTCAGGGCTTATGTACTGGATTTTATTTATTACAAATTGTGTTTTTACCAGGTCACCCCCCTGAAAGTGTTATTCCTATAACTCCATGTTGGCATGTTTTAGTATGCTTCACTCATGCTCTCAAAATGTCGGAGGGTCTGCAAAATCGTTGAACACTCTTTCTTTGTAAAACCCAACAATGTTTAACACCTTGGAAAAAATTCATAAGTAGAAAGGCACTCAGAGAGTGCAGAACTCCGCCAAGGTTGTTGCATTTAGTGAACAATATTGCATGTAACCGCCCTGTAATTTGGATCCGCTCCAAAATGTAATGGGTTCGGGCTTGATCCATGCTACTCCCTAACACCAAGTTCCAAGATTTGGGTCAGTAGTTTTGCCATAATCCTGTTGACAGTCAAACAAACAAAACTATTCCAAAAAACCCTCCTTGGCAGGGGTGACAGTCAGCAAAATGTTGCTGATTAAAGTCATGAAAACCCTTTCTTTCTCCAGATTTCTACCGATCAAGGTTCATTCGAGGGTCGTGTTGTGGTGGTTTGTGAGAAAATGATGTCCCAGCCGTGCTGGGCTTCATCCAATCAGCTCGTCCACAGCAAGAACTCCAGAGGAATGACCTTACTGCATTTGGCTGCAGCTCAGGGCTACGCAGGGCTCATTCAGACTCTCATTCGCTGGCGGTGAGTGACACACAAACATGACACTCAATTGTGAGCACACAGACTGGGTCAGGTTATTTCACCTTTGTTGTCTCGCTCCGCAGCACAAAGCATGCTGACAGTATTGACCTCGAGCTCGAGGTGGATCCTCTCAACGTAGACCACTTCTCCTGCACTCCACTGGTGAGTAATCAATATTTCTCAATGGTGTTTGGAGTGTGTCCTTCTGTTCCGTGCCTGTGTGTGATCTGTGTTTTCCTTTGTCCTCCTCAGATGTGGGCATGTGCTCTTGGTCACACCGAGGCAGCCTTGGTGCTTTACCAATGGGACCCACGAGCTCTGGCTATTCCTGATTCGCTGGGACGCCTGCCGCTCAACATCGCCCGATCGCGGGGCCACACTCGATTGGCTGAGCTCTTAGAGCAGCTGCAACTAACTCCTCAAGCTCAGGGCCAGCCGGCTGACACCTGGATGGACAGGTGGAGAGGAGAGTCACAGAGCAGTGGCATAAGCAACAGCCCTACCCCAAACCCTAACTCAGGTGGGAATGCTTGCTATTTTTTTAATTTAAATCCATTAAGGAAGAAGTTGTCTCATTTTAAAGGTTCAGTTCACCAAAACACAGAAAATAGCCCTGTGTAACCAGGCCGGCCTGACTCTGTCCATAGGTACAAACTCAGCCTGCAAAGCCCTTTAAAGCTCACAAAGTAATTGCAGTTAAAAACAACAGTTTGACCATTTTTAAGGGTTATTTGTCAGACCATTTCTAAGCTTGAAGCAGAGTCTTTGTATATTCTACACACCTCTCTCAAATTGAAAACTGACAATGATCACTATTACTAGCTATTTCAAAATGTAAGTGGCAAAAAAAATATTTAATTGTTCTGGGTGAGCTGAACTTATAGCATGTCTGTCACCAGCCACTTGTCTGTCACCAGCCACTTGCTCTTATTTCCAACCATCTTTGTTTCCCCAGAGCTGAGGAGACCCAGGACCGATAGCCAGCCAGACAACCAGAACCAGAGCTGGGGCCAAACAGGACACAGAGCCCAAAAGGGAGAACAGGGAGGCCCACCTCCAGCCAAGAGACTCAAACCCAGCCCCGACACCCAGCAACAGCTCGCTAACTCACCCCAGGGCAACACCACCCTCACCTCCCTCCTCAACTCGTCCCCTAGTCCTAACACTCAACGCTCTCTCCTCCCAAACACCCCACAAACTCCCCTCCCACAACCCTCGAACCTCAGCTGTCAGAACGCGCCTCCTGCCGGCTCCAGCCCCGACCGGCCTCAGCTCCACAGCGCTCCACTCCCCCACCTGCAGGCCAGGATAGGGGGGTCTGGAGGGGGCACCAGGTGGAGTCTGAGACAGTCTCTGGGGCAGCGTAGCCTTGCCAGGAGGATCCTGGGAAAAGAGCGGCTGGCCATTCACCTGCGCCAAAGAGTGCTGTCCGACAGGGGGGAGGAGACAGAGCTGCTGACCTATCAGGATCACACAGAGGACTTGCAGGTAGGGGGAGCAGAGTGTGAGGGGCACTTTTGATTTTGTCCCTCAAAAATGAACTTTTTGTACTGTATAGGATAGAACATGTTTACATACTTGCATGTATGCCATGTTTGTAATAAAATACATGAAGAAATCCATTAAAAATATATCAAAACAAGTCTCTCCAAACTTTGACCCTCAATATGAAAAGAGGAAAACTCCATGATACCTCAATAGGTTAAACTGAAATGACAAAACCTCAGGAAAGTGCCCAAGAAGGGTAAGATTACATTTGGCAACAAACCTGAACATACATCAAATAAAATGACTTACTTTACTAAAACTTTTCACATTAAAGTTGTTATCATGAAAAGGGCGCCTGGTGCAGGTTCACCTCTCAGTTACTCCCACAAAAGCAGACACTGACTCCTGCAAATGATCAAGTGCATTGATTTACAAGAAAGGACAGAAGGGCACAGACACTGAATTCCCACTGAAGCTACTGAACAAGAAGATAGTGCTGTATACACCTTAAATGAAATGAAAAGATTCACACTTAGTAGCAGTACAACACTGAGTTCAGCCAAAAAAGGATAAAGACAAAAAGGCTTTTAGTTTGGATTTAGCCAGATGTAGTGCTTGTTTATCCAACACAACTAGAAATAGACTTACCAAAAAAGGGATGCCATTTGGTTTTGCCAACTGTAAGATAATTAGCCACCAGGGAAAGACATGTAGCTGTGTATTTTATAATGAATCTTTTTGGCATAACAAAGAAGCTCATGAAGAGAGGATATATGGTGTGTTAAATTATAAAAAACATTAGTGGTTTGATAAAGAATCCGGCCTAACAGCCATATGTTTTGTATGAACACATGATATGCAAACAAGGTAACCCATACAATGGAAAGTTTAAAAGATCAAATGATGTTGATAATGCTTGGACTAAAGTTGTGTGGTAAAAAAATTAAGAATAACCTGTACGTCATTATCTTAAACCTTTAAATACAGAGAGTTGAATGTTGTTATTTTAGGCATTCAAATACATGTCGAAATGTGTAGCTAACGCCTGCTCCGTGTGTCTTGCAGATGGACATTACGATGCTAGCCGATCACATCATGGAGGCTTCAGCTGGAAGGCTTAAGCAGGAGGCGATGGAGACAGAAACAGACTCCGGGAAGGGGGGGATCAGCAGTGATGTCCGGTTACTGTCTGGTTACCTCAGTGAGGTGGAGAGGTGAGTCAAAGTATTCCTGATTTCGCCGTATTCCCTTCACCCAACTCGTGAAATATTTATGAATAATGAAAGCTTTTCTTTGCTCTCTGTTTCCTCCAGGTTTCTGAACTCCAAGTCCCAGACTCCGAGCCCCAAACCAAACCCTCTCTCAGGGCCAGAGGATCCTCAGGCTAGGCTAGCCCTGTCCTCTTCCTTTGACTGGACCTCCTTCCTCTGTGCAGCTATGAAAGAAGAGAGGTTAAAAACTGGCTCCTGTCTAGCCATGACCGAGGCAGAGCAGGGGGAGCTGTACGAGACCATCAGGCATGCTCTGCACTCCCTCAGAAAACACAAGGTACTTATGGCCCTTGGAAAAGTACAGTTTGTTAGATTTTAAAATGGTATGTTGTCCTGGTTTTGGTATTAGTTCTTCCCTTTAAATGCTTGTCTTTCATGAATCACAATCACTTGAAAAAGCTTACTATGAACATGTATGATGTTTATAAATACTTTTAATGTCATTCCCCGAAGGGTCCCATTCAGGAACAACGCAAAGAGATTGCAGCAGTGATTCAGCGCTGCTATAAGAGATACAAGCAGGTAAGAGTTTACAGCAACAACACATCAGAGAACCAGACATTAACAGCTCCATTAATGTAGGCTCAAATGAAAAAATACTATTAGAACAAATTACGACATCAATCCAGTGTATGATACATAGTATTCAGGATTCAGCATTACACTGCTAATGTTCTTTTGACCTCTCTGCTTTTGTCTTCTCTCTCAGTATGCACTTTATAAGAGGATGACCCTGGCAGCCATCCTGATCCAGAGTCGTTTCCGGAGTTTCCATGAGCAGAGGAAGTTCCAACAGAGTCGTAGAGCAGCGGTCCTCATCCAGCAATACTACCGCTCCTATAGACACTCCCTTGGGTACTCCACTCTCTCTCTCACACACACTCAAGGGATGGCTCTACACAAAGGCCTCTTCTTACTCGTGTGTTTTTGCCCACAGCAGCCTCCTCACGAAAAAACAGAACCAAGCTGCTCGCAAGATCCTGAGATTCCTGCTCCGATGCCGCCACAGGTGAGACACCAAGCCCCCCACACACCCTCCAACACCACTGCACACACATCCCCACACACTCTTACAGCCCAATGTCGCACATCTACATTGGTGCTAATAGTTGGTGTTGTTTTACTGTTCCTGTGAAGCCCCTTGATGGACGATAGGCCTCTGAAGCGGGTGAGTCTTCTCTCTCTCTTCTCTCTTCCCCTCTCTCCCGGTGGCTGATGCCTGTTTGCATGTCAGCAGAGGGAGAGGGAGAGGAGATCCTGGATTGTCATCCTTCTAGCTCTCTCGCTCTCTCTCTCTCTCTCTCTCTCTCTCTCTCTCTTCTTCCCTTCCTGTCTCTCTTTCTCTCTCACTGTCTCTCCAAGGTCTGCTGAATGATGCTTGCATGATTGACACATAGCTAGAGGAGCGATTCTTGCATACGGGGGCATGTTCTGACTGACATCACTAGGGGACTTTAAGTGTCTTGCTTGGCCTGCCAGTCTTTTTCTATTTGTGCCTTGACGGGTGGGGAGGTTTACAGGATGGAGGGTGTGTGTGTGCTGAGCGGGATTTACACGCTGAATAACGTTTCCTGTTGCTCTGAGCTTGGCCTTTCGGTATTAAAGTTAAAAGAAAAATACACACACACACATTTCTCTGAGTGTATCTCTAATGTGTGTTTTGTTTCCCCCCCCCCCCCCCCCCCAGAGCCAGAGAGCAGAGAAAGGCCAGGGGTCCTGAGAGCCCACCGTCAGTCCCCCCACACACCCCCCCCTCAGCCTGTGAGCAATCTATAAACCCTCCCCTCCATTTCCCCCCCTTTTTCCTTTCTTCTGTCCTCCCCAACTCCCCCTCCGTCCCCTTTCCATTCTTCTCCTCCCTTGTCCTCTCTCACTCTCTCTCCCTCTTCTCTAAAGAGGGGAAAGACTCTTCCCAGACAGACTGAGGACAGGATAGGTGTCCATCATGGCAGCTCGGACAGACAGACTGCTGGGTGGAGCCCAGGGACCTGGCTCCGCCCACAGCACTGATCCTCCTCCACAGTTTCACTGGGAGGCCATCACATTAACCTCATGGCATTCTTTGCACTCTTCATGAGTATGTTTCTTTGCAAGAGCAAGTCGACGAGTCAGACGAGAGAACGCGGAGAGGAAGCGTCTGGCGAAGACATCCCTGCGCTCACGGCGGCGTCTGGAACGTGCTCCGGCGACGGAGAATGGCTGGCTCAAGATAAAGGCTACTTTAACATGCTGAAAATATACGAAACCTTTTGCGTTTTGTACCCAAACAGAAATCCATGAAAGAATAAGAAAAACATAAACCAAAAAACTCACTTCTATGTTGCATTTGCATGCAAGATTTTTCCGCTTATTCCTCCTCTCCATCATCGTGAAGAACTATAGAGGCGAATCATTCTGCGGATTCAGTATCTCACAAATATCACCAACCATTCTGACTCACAGGCTTACAAACCTATTAATCAGTCACCCGATCAAAAGGGGAGGAACTGCACTTGAATGTAAGAGGGGCATTGTTAGATAAGGGTCGGGGTCTGAATAACGATGTCTTAATTTGTTACATGGACTTTGTATGGAGTCGTTCTCAGAGGCAGCACTTTGCTCGCCTGACGTGGTGTGTCCGTGTTTGTTCAATTCAATGCATGTGTTTGAGCCACGAGCTCCTGCATGCTTGCCAAACTGCTTTAGTGTTGTTTCTTTTGTATTTCTATGTGTAGTTGTGTCTCACTTACGTCCTCATCAACTTATCCTTGCCCTGTGTAATGTGAACTGTGTAAGGACAAATGACTTATTTTGGGTGCTTTAAAAAAAAAAAAGTCTTTATTTATTTAAGGGTCTGATTATTTATTTAATTGGCTCAAGAGTGGTTCAGCTTGAGGCTGGTTTTCCCCCTTTGTGTGGTAAAATATGACATGTTCCAATGGTTAAATGTCTCTGTTAGTTTGTTCTTTGCGTGAACCTCTAAATCCTAAGTGTGGTTTGAGGAGAGAGTCACATACCATTGCCTTGACTTCTTGACTCTGAGAGGTCTCTATGCTTGCTCTGTACAGGACATGGGTCCTATACCTGCCCCTATACAGGGCATTGGTCCCCATATTAGCCCATATGGGCGATCAAATCCATATTTTGGACTATTGCATATTCCTGTATATAAACTGACGAGGTAAGGGGATACGAGGACCCTGAAACTTTTTCATAAGAGGACTGTATTTAAGATTATAAATTATTTTACTCCCATAATGAGAACTTAAGACAGAGGCCTGGGTACACAGGATGGCTGTATTGCTTGTAAATAATGTAGATAATACAAACGGAGTAATGTGCATGAGATTTAAGAAACAGCAAAAAGAACATGTTAGTGGCTCTGGACTGTGAGAGGATTTTAACTGCTTCACTTTAAGAGTATCCAGTATAAGTGTTACTGAAAAGAACATTTTGTTAAAGCATGCTACTGAAAAATCTAATGTTAGAAATATAAGTGGGAAAACAAAGTTAGCTGAAACAATGAGATTTCAGACAAAAACATTTACACTTTGTGCTTTTTCTTTCTTGGCTAGCAAAAATTAAACCCTTTTTGCCAGTAGTGCCAATTATTATGAATGCTATTTTTGCCTAACAATATGTTACGTTGGGGAAACCAACACCCAAAAGATATCAGTAAGATCCACAGAGGCAACACACACACAGACAATAAACAGTAGAAGAGATCTAGTAGTAGCTCAAGCATAGACAAGCTCAGAGGTTTGTGTAGACGAAGATGATGCAAGTATGAAAATGTTATTAATGGTGATTTTGGTCGTTTTACTATGAATGCAATGAATGGTGAAGAGGGTGCTACATTCTTTACAATGTGGTTGTGCTTCAGCAACATACTAGCTTTTATTAAGACCATTACTCACACCTACAGCGGGTCCAGCCTGGCCTCCAGTCAAAGCTTTCCATCTTCAAACAGAATGTCTCTTCCCCTCCCCTTTTTTTACATATCATTTGTTTATTTTTCTGTTTTATTCATTGTCACTGCCATTATGATACCACGTGTACTTTAGACTTCTGGAAAGCTCTGTTTAGAAAGTGCCTGCTCGATTTAACAGAAAAGTGCAAGCTAATATCAGGAAATATCTATTGTATGTCCTCCAAAAGGTTGCCAGTTACCTGTTTATTTTCCTAAACTGTGTGTTAAAAAATGACAGTGTTAAACTTGATCCGAGTCTAAGTTAGAAGCTCTAATTTGTAAGTGGTATGAATGAACGCTCATGGCCTGATTGATGCTTTGTGTTGCTTTATGAGTCAAATCAGTAATTACAGTATCACTTTATGCCCCCACTTGTCTGTCAATTTTGCAGTATTAGAACAAGAAAACCATAGATTCAGCTTCTGTGTGTGAAAGGCACTAAGTCCATTCAAGATCTCTGTGTCGTTGTTGGGAGGAAGATGTGTTTTCTTGCAGGGACTTACTTTGTCTGTCTTTCGTTAAAAAAAACTTTTCGCAGCATTTAAACAAAAGCATAACCCAGCAGTTCTCCAGAGGATAGAAATAGCTGTCACTTTCTTTCTTTGTCTTTCACTCACACAGATATGCACACACGTAAACACATACATACAGTACACAAAGGTACACAATCCCACACAAATATGCCACACACTTTCTCTCTGTGCTTATGTCTTTGGGAACATTTAAATCTGTCCCTTAGATTTTACTCAGGGTTGAAGAACAGGGAGATGGTGTGTGGAGTGTGATGATGGCCTGCACAGAGTTGTACCACGACTGTGTACATTTGTCTATGCATATGTATGTGTACATATTTGTGTATGTTAGGAATACTCCAGTTGTTCATTCTCTAATTTAGTATCAACAAATGTTCAAATTAGTCTTATTTTGGGAAGCAGCAGATGATGTTTGCCTCATCCGAGCTGTGTTTGCATCACTTTTTTCTACAAGGAAAAAAAGAATCTCCAAATCCCGTATTTTATAGGATTTAGTTTGATTATACTCTAAAATAAAAGCAAGTGAAAAAGGGATATTTCTATTTATATACATGTTGTTGTCTTAAACGCACAAGATTCTTGCTATAGATAATTCTTAAAGGAAAATAGGCCACGTAACACCTCGATTTCTTAATTATAAAGAGTTTTAAGAGATAGTATATTGAACAATTTACAATTGGGCTATCTCTATTATGTGTGTTTCACATGTTTTCTGAATTTTCCTTATACTGAGAGACAGCCTTGGTTAGGACGGCGCTGTCAGGATCGTTCATGTTACTGTATCGCTCCTCTTAAACGTCCCCTCCTCTCACATCAGCACAACTCAAGCCACAAAGAACACTGCTTTGGACTCCTTTATACATTATATATATATATATATATATGCACACACAGCCAAATACACACACACACAAACACACACACACACACACCAACATCAAAATACTTGCGCTTTTCAACAGGCACAAAGAAATTACACACACATGAAACTAGACACACAGATTGCAGCTAATTCATCAATAGTGTGTTCATGTTTTGGGAGAGGATGGTGACTGTAAAAATAGTATGTAGAGTAGTAGTAAAAAATAAAATAAAGAAATATTGCCATAATAAACAGCTGGTAGACACGCGCAGAGACGGCGTCTGTACTCATGACCGCCCAGATATGAATGGTATAACCTTTCAGGCCTTGTTTTGAGAGGGAGTGGCCAAACACCCCATTGCATGCAAGAATGGTAGACCCTTATTGATAATCTATGGCTAGACCTCTCCTTGCCTTCCTCTTCTTCACCTCTCTATCTCTCTCATTTCCTACTGTATTCCCACCTTGCCTGCTGTTGTGTTCTCCATGCCTATCTCAGTCCTTCATTCCTCTTTTTTTTTCTTGTTTGTAGCCTAGTTTTTACTTTGTTTTACAAACGTGCATGCACAAGCATCACTAAATTGTTGATGTTTTTAAAAAGAATATTTTGTTGCTGAGGCCATGCAAAGTGTTTTGAATATTGCCCTTATATGTGGAAAATGTCTTCTGAATGCTTTACATAATTTCTGCTGTAAAATGAAATCAGAATAAAAAGAAAAATTTGCACTTTAACTTATTTTGATTTGCCTAGTATTTATTTAGAGAAAGTATATAATCTGGGCTTTTCTTATTTCCTACTCTAATAAAGCTGGATCCAGTGTATTTCTACACCTCATTGGTCCACTCTGAAATCTTGAATACATCCTTTCATATTTGTATATGTTAACCTTTAATTTAGTATATCTTCCATTAATGTACAGAAAGGGGGTGTTGAAGCAATCGGATAAAACCCTAAATATGCAATTTCTTCTAATATCTCTAATAAAAAAGTATTCCACAATAATTGTTAAAGTTACATTTTTTGATACAACCATATTACCCAAATTTCAGTTGTTATAAATTCCAGATCTGTCTCTTTCCCAAAACTCTTCACTGTACCAGTTTCAAACATAGTACAGCCTACACTGCCCTTTCCTTTATCTCGGCTGACATTATCAGAACATTTTATTGCAAATACTAATGTGTCCTGTGCCAAGTTTCTTGAATAGTTAATTGTTTCTGATTCTTCACGTGTTTTTCCTGACTTCACAACAATATGCTTTACTGACCTCCAGTTTTAACATTCTGCCTGCACATCATGGGCTTCACTTTGTTAGTGGTGGGGACATTTCTCCAGATTTAACATCAGCATAGCAGAAGACCAAATATGTCCCTTCCCTGGGTGTTAAACCTCGAGCACCTGCATGAAAAACCAATGCATAAACCTCTAGACCACCAATGTGTTTTTAAAATAATGAAAACCCAACTATAGATCTTGCTGTGATGTGATTTGAAGTGAATGTGTACCTTTATGCACACAACAAGCACACGGGTAGGAGAGAGAACATGACATAAGTACAAAATAAATGAATACATAAATACAGGAATAAATACAGGGATAATAAAATATAATAAATAAATGCAGCAATAAATACAGGAATAAATAAATACATGTGGAAATAAATACAGGAATAAATAAACACAAGACAACATAAATAAATACAGGAATAAATAAATGTGGAAATAAATAAATATAAGTTGAGAATAAAACAGAACACACATTATATATATTTAATGTATTTCTAAATTTATTTTCACATACATTTATATATTTATTAATTTATGTGTTTCTTGGAGAAACTTGTTTTGCTTGGTAGCCTTGTATTCTGTGGATACGACAACATTTATAAGAAATGTATTTTCAATTGCTGTGAACGTTTCAACAAGTGCACGTGTTGCTTTAATATTTTATTTCACTTCCTCTGACCAGTATCACTTTCATTTGGAAGCTTTGTGTCAAGTTGTACACAAAGTGTCTCTACTCTCTTCAATACATATTTTAAAAGCTTACAGCACCGGGAATTTCCAGCGTTATCGTGTTCAACTGTAAAGCCCCTGCCTTGAGACAAAAGTAAGTAACATTTGTGATATTGTGCTAAATAAATACACTCTGATTGACTTTGATTGATGGATTTTGCGCAAGAAGTACACTTCACTTCAGAGCCAGATATAAATGTTTATTAGTGTCAAAAATGGTGTAGGTAAAAAGGTTTTGCTACTACCTAAAACTCAGTAACAGGAGTGTAGGCTACGGGGTGGGATTTCTAACAGGTCTTCTCCAGTGAGAACATAAACACATTTAATAAGCCGCACACGCACTAGGATAAATTAACATGGTGACGGCATTGCTGGAATTAAACCCACCACCTTCTGACTGAAAGACAACAGCTCTTCTTCTCAGCTTCAACCGAATTATGGGCTTTTGTTCAGAAATGATGGTGGAGACATGTCCCCATGCAGCACAAATGACGCCTATGCTGCCTGCACATTGTCTTCATACTCTTAAATGTGTGATCCCCTTATCATGTTGCCAAATATTGGATTTCCTTTAGAGACTATTTTAAGTTCACATGGTTTGTCCGACGACGTGTGGAACACTTTGGTCCTACCGGAAAATTACTGGTATTTGTTGTAGATTACGTCACTTCGATTTCTCTTTACCGTAAAATGTGAGCCTTTCTTATGTTAAAAACGATATCAAATGTCTCTAGACCAAATGAGTCAATCATTTGGCCATGTTATAACAGTTGTCAAATTATATCTTAACCAAGACAGCCTTAGTTGCTAATTTTGTAAGAAATAGTGCTCATCTCTGTGTGCTTCCCTATCCCAATCTCGGTAATTACGGTAAAATCCGGAAATGACGTAGGAATCGCAGCTGATAAAAGGACGTGGTTGTTCCGGCGAAAAAGTGGATTTGCTGCTTCAGGACAGGCGGTTTTAGAGTAGAATTTGTATTGTTTTAATTAAGAAATGTACATATGTTTTAGCACTAGAGGATTTTAATATAATAATACAAGGACACATGTGTGTTTTTGTTGAGAAAACTCGGCACTGTGACGCCTTCTGCTGCTGCCTAGCTCTCCATCGGCTGAAGAAACAATGCAGGCCTAGCTAGCATCTCACGGTAGCTAGTGGAAGCTAATCGGATAACGCTGCTCCAGTAGACTGCAGTGGGATTTAAACCTTGGACGAAGCCCCATTTTTCGACGCTGCTATAACATCTATTCCGGTATTTTACACCTTTTTTTAAATCAAATTTTGCCTTTCATGCAATGTATGTAATTTAACCTAATTTGATGTCTGTTAAATAAGCAAATGCTCGTTAAACGCAATATGTCCACGAAGTTAAAGCGTTAGCTTGTTAGCATTTGCGAGTTAAGTAATTGTTTCCTTGTTGACTGTATAATAAAGTATTTCTATGTCATGCAGATGGTCAACAAGGAGAAGGCCAAACTTATAATGTGTCTGCCAAATGTGTCAGGGATTTGGTAACATTTGAAAACAGTAGCTTGATTTCCACTTTGGTCCATCACAGTTACCCTGTCAGAACCATAGAATGTATACAATGGGACCGATCTTATCTGACAGGTTCACATCTCCTTTATGTTTTCGCATTCGTAAGAAAACCTTCTTTTTTTTTTTTAATTCCTTTCCTTCTAACTGGAAAGTGTATTTTAACCGGGGATCATAACACACGGGTCCACTTTATTGGATCCAAGCTTATCATTGCATAACACTGACTGAGCAGCAATGGTTTCGTTTAAAGAGCTATGTTATGGCATACACGTGTATTTGTTTCCTCCTTCCTGGTGCTTGCGTCATCTATTTTGCATCCATTATTTGCATTTGTAATTGATGGAAAATATGTATGTTTTGTCTTTCTACACATCCTATATGACATTCTTTAGTATCCAGCAACCTTACAAACAATCCTAAAAAATGTTGCCTTCAAGGTTTCTTCTAATAACCATAACTTAAACAGTTTGTTTGTGTATGTTGCAACCCTTCAGATTATACCGTACCTTCTCTTTAATTAGAATGTTTTGACAGAATAAACACAATATAGTTTAAAAGTCTATCTGCCTTTCAAATGTAATGGATTCCGGGGCATGTCTGTTTTTAAAGGGACAGCTAACTGAACTTATTGTTGTCTAATATGCAGCAATACAACTCTACATTCATGAAGCTAATGAGTGTTCATTGCTGCTCTGTTAACTATGTTCACTACCAATGTATATGCTCATTGTCTATTAATTTAATTGATCAAATATTCATTATGTTTTTAAAATATAAAGACGTGATGCCCATCGCAATTTATCAGAGCCAATGGGACTTCTTGATATTCCTTGTGTTGTCCAGCCAGCATGGTACAACTCGAAGCTGTTCCTCTTACTATCAAATGTAAACTAAATCCTCACATTTGAGCTAAAACCTGAAACATAATGTTTTTTTTCTTGATATATGAAAAGCTGAATTGATGATCAATACAGTTTCCTGAAATGTTTTTGCTTAGTGGAGTAATCAATCAATCCTTTAATCGATTTATTTGAAACTATTTGACTGAGGAAGTTCAACTTGATGCTCATTTTGGAGACTGTAGTTTGGAGGTGCTGTTAAGGTGTATTGAATTATATCGAGGGTTGTTTTCATTATTTATTCATTGATATAAATGGGATGGACTGTTATATCTGTCTGCACTAGTTTTTGCTAAGTATACCAAATAAACTGAGTTTATGTTGCATGGCAGTCTGTCAAGACAGATTGTACACTTTATTTATAATTTTAAGAGCTTCTTACAGTACCATAGCTCTTTGTTGTTTTAGTTTTTTTATCTTGATCTAATCCACATCAATGTCTTTTCAGCGATGAGCTCTCAGCTGCAGGTCTTCTCCACCCCCTCCATCTCCTCCAGTGCCTTTTGCCGCGTTAAGAAGGTGAAGGTGGAGAACAATGTTTGGGACGTGTCCACCTCCGAAGCTTACAGCTCCCTAGCGGGCCAATCGGCATACACCTTCGCCCCAGCCATGGCCGTGGCACCCTTTGCACCATCTCTGGTCTTCCCCCCCACAGCGCCCGGCTCAAGAGGTCAAGTGGTGGTGCGAGCCGCTGATAGCACCGGCAGTCTCCCTCGTGGATCCAGTCGGCGTGTGGCGGAGCAGGCCACGTCTTCCTCTTACGCTCACACAGAGACGACCTCCGAAACAAGGGGGCACAGGCACGGGCAGAAGAGAAAGATGGAGGAGACCACTGAAGGCAGCGGGAGCGGTTGTGGCAGTGTCCAAATATTGGAGGAGCTCTCAGCCCCTGCAGCAACGTACTCTACCCGTACCGGGGGTGGCGGAGGAGGCACAGGCCAGTCTATACCCCACTCAGCTACAACCACCAAGAGCAGCAGCTCCAACGGGGAGGGGGATTATCAGCTGGTGCAGCACGAGATCCTCTGCTCCGTGTCCTGCAGCTATGAAGTGCTGGAGTTTTTAGGAAGAGGCACGTTCGGACAAGTGGCTAAGTGCTGGAAGAGGGGCACCAATGAGATTGTGGCAATCAAGATCCTGAAAAACCACCCTTCCTATGCTCGTCAGGGCCAAATTGAGGTAACGCAGTTTTGTTGATTCATTCATTTGTGTATCCTAATCTTTTGTTGTTGTGGTTACTGGTTTTATTTGACAATGTTTGCAGAGAGCTTCTTGTCTCGCAGAATTAATAAATAAAATGCTAGTGTGTAATATTTATGTGATCCACTCCCAACTGGTTTAGCTGAATAAATCTCCAGTCAAAGCTTCCAGAGTGATGAGACAATGCAAGGTGCATTTCTGAACAAGTTTAATTACAGTTTAATATAAAAGTTTATTTTATTAACACTGCGGCCCCCTGTGTCAGAGGGTCTTTCAGTTTCTAAAAATGACATGTTATTTTCACAGGAAATCTCTGATTGTGTTTTATTGGGAAACGCCTTGAATTTTGACGTGCTTTTTGCTCGTTTGCCCCCCATTATTTCTGACACGGGTTGGATTTGGTCCAATTCAGGATACATTGTAATTGCCTTATCACATTACCTGGAGTTGCTTCCCAGATGTTACCATGTTGATGCAACATTATAAATCATTTTAGAGCAAACTGGTTAAATGAAACTTGTAACTGACCTCCTCATTATTGTGCCCTTCCTCACACTTTCACTTTCATTTTCTTATTATGAAAGTGAACCAGCTATAATTGACAAATTAAACAGGGTTGTATCTCTTCCAACAGGTGGGTATCCTGAACCGGCTCAGCGCAGAGAACGCGGATGAGTACAACTTTGTGCGTTCATACGAATGCTTCCAACACAAGGGTCACACGTGCCTGGTGTTTGAGATGCTGGAGCAGAACCTGTACGACTTTCTCAAACACAGCAAGTTCAGCCCACTCCCCCTGCGGCACATCAGACCCATCCTACAGCAGGTGGGCTCCACAGACATTCATTACACCTTTTTATAACCCATTATTATTACTTAATTTTGAGTTGCAGATATACGCCTTTCATTCTTACGGAGGTGAATGAATTGTACTGTTTTGTTATTGTCTTCAGGTGGCTACAGCGCTGATGAAGCTGAAAAGCCTCGGTCTGATTCATGCAGACCTGAAGCCAGAGAACATCATGCTGGTGGACCCCCTCAGACAGCCCTACAGGGTGAAAGTCATTGACTTTGGCTCAGCGAGTCATGTGTCCAAAGCTGTCTGCTCGACCTACTTACAGTCGCGCTACTACAGGTTCGTGTGAATAAATCCACTTTCTTCTAATACATCTAAATACTTTTGCCATGTTACTATGACACAACATTGTACCTCAAGTCTTGGTACTAATTGGTTAACCTCGTCTTCACTGTCTAGGGCTCCAGAGATCATTTTGGGTCTGCCATTCTGTGAGGCCATCGACATGTGGTCTCTGGGCTGTGTGATTGCTGAGCTGTTCCTGGGTTGGCCTCTCTACCCGGGGGCCTCTGAGTATGACCAGGTCAGTACGTTAGAGTTCCCCAGGCCTTATCTGGGCAACAAAGAAAGCCTGCAAGAGGCTACAAGTTTTTAGTTGATGGCGTGTCATGGAAGTACTGTAGATGTACTTTAGAAACTCCTAGAGCTGCTAGTTTTGCTTTAAATCAGGAGATATCAAGGTGCTGCTGAGAAACAAGCATAACTACCCACTGTAAGAGTCGTATCCATGGCACTTACTGGTGTGTCTTATACTTGAATATGTTTTCCCTTCTCCAGATCCGTTACATTTCTCAGACCCAAGGCCTGCCTGCAGAGTACCTGCTGAGCGCGGGGACAAAGACCAGCCGCTTTTTCAATCGAGGACCTGACTCCAGCTACCCACTCTGGAGGCTTAAGGTTAATATGATCTCATAATATCCCTAGTGTCTCCCTATCTGAAGGCTGTAACTGATTGATCACCGTTACCAGAAGATGACTGAATATGTAACAAATTATAAAAAGCCATCACTTCATGTTAATTGTTAATCTTCACTTTTGCTGTAACAATGTACGTTTTCCCTCTGTGGGACTATTAAAGGTATTCTGATGCCGATATAGTTTTTGCAAATAATAACAAGTAAAATATGTTTTTGTATTTGCCAGACCCCGTCAGAGCATGAAATGGAGATGGGTATCAAGTCCAAAGAGGCCAGGAAGTATATCTTCAACTGTCTGGATGACATGATGCAGGTAAATCATTTTTTCATGTAACATCTTTTTAAATAAAAATACTATGCTCTCAAACCCAAGAAATGTCTTTACCTCTAACTCTTAATATTTGTCTGATTTAATTTGGTTGTTTTATTCTTGTGTTCCAGGTCAACCTTTCTTCTCATTTGGAGGGCACGGACATGTTGGCAGAGAAAGCTGATAGACGAGAGTTTATAGACCTCCTGAAGCGGATGCTCCGTCTGGACGCTGACAAAAGGATCACGCCAACGAAGACTCTGGGTCACCCCTTTGTGACCATGAGCCACCTCATGGATTACCCCCACAGCTCACAGTACGTGTGATGTGCAGATTTTCTTTTAGTCACTGCCTCACAATTATGTTTTCTTTACTTGAATGTTTTTTCTCATACACTATTAACTCCACCCTCTCCAGTGTGAAGTCCTGCTTCCAGAACATGGAGATCTGTAAGCGCCGGAGCTCCTACGATAGCAGCAAATCCCTGTACTCCACCAGCGCAGTGCCCAGCGCTGCCGCCGGCAACCTCACTGTTACCTTCAGTAGCCAGCTCAACCAGCATAACCAGGTACGACCAATCACTTCACAGCGTCCACACAACAGTAGTAGTTGACATTTGTGAGGGCTAAAAAAAAGTCCCTGAATATTCAAACGCATCACATAACACCTTCCAATATTTAGTTTGGTTCTTGAAGTCATAAAAATGTAATTGCTCAGAATTGGAAATCTTGCTCAGAATTGGAAATCTTGCTCAGCTTTTTCTTTTTCTGAGGCGGAACCATCTCTCATCCTTTCTTGCCCAAAACGAAATACGTCATGGCTTTTTTACCATTATCAGTCTTTTCACTTGTATGTTACTAATGCTATAGGGAGGCAGTTGCTAGTGAATTACTCACTGCCACATTTACATACTATTAAATTAGAAAAGCACTTACTCCAACAAAATAAACATTACAGAGCTACAGCTAATACTCACTAAGGATGGACTGTGAGGGAGAGTGCCCTGCAGTGGGTTTCAAGATGACCTTGAGAAGCACTGGTTGTGGGGTCTGAGCCCTCAGCGTTGTCTGTCAGATGGCGCTAATGCTTTTGGTCAGTGGTGTGTGAGGGTGTGTGTGTGTCTCTCCGCAGCTTATCTCACGCACCTCTGACTCATCAGGCCAGTTTGTTCCGTGCATTCAAGACTGTATGTTCCCTGACGTGTCATGTTGTGTTGAATCACTCTTGACCTGAAAACCTTATTTTAACTGCCATGTTTTAATATTTGAGCCCAAAACAGTGCTTCACTATAACGTTCAAATTGGTCAATGGATTATGTGAATATGTTTTTGAATTGGTTTTTAAGAAAGACAGATATCAATTACATCACGTTGTCTCTTTAGGCTCATAAAAGTCCTTTTGTGATGAACGTTGCCACTCATTCTGTCTTTAATCAGTGGTCTTCTGTAATTCCTCCACCAGGTGCCTTCTGCGGGGGGGGCGGTGCCTTTGCTGAACTACCAGCCCGCTCTGTACCAGCAGGCGACCATCAACATTCCCGGGCTCGCTCAGCAGAGCGTCCCGATCCCAACGCGTGCTGCTGGGCTGTGCAGCCAGACTGAACCCTTCCAGCAGACCCTCATCGTCTGCCCACCCTCCACTATCCAAGGTAAAGCAGAACGCTGCAATCAGACTGAGAAAAACACAACATGAGGGGCTGCAGCAGAAGACGCCACTCACTGTTATTCTCAGATTGTACTTCAGTTATTTAGATGTCAGGCTGTCACTACTAACATCTACTTATTTCTCTAGTTGAAGGCAGATTATGAATGTTAATAAGATGCTTACCACAACATCCCACTCTTTAAGGGATACTTCAATACTGTGAGACCTTCATTTTAATTTCTTTTTGAATCACTTGTATTGAATTGTTTTCAGGGCTACAGGCATCCAGTAAGAGCTCCAGTTACCCTGTGAGGATGGAGAACTCTGTACCCATAGTACCTCAGAACCAGGCTGCTCAGGCTTTGCAGCTCCAGCCCAGTATGCTCACACAGGTAAGAGTCTGGAGGGTCAGTCACATTTCAGATATCTGTCTGGGGCTAATGATGTTATCTTTAAATGTAGTCTTTCAAGAAGAGACACAAAGCTTGAACGGGCACACTTTCTTTAGAAAAAGATGGACAGAGGAAGCATGCATGTATTGCTGCTTGTGAGGGACATGGGCAGGTTGTAGGATTTGCAAATTATACATTTTCTTACACATTTTCTTCAGATACACGGTTTGCTTTCTGTGGAGACCTTGTTTATTTAATTGCATTTATACCATTAACATTTAAAATAACAAAAGATGTGACTTCAGAAGCATAGCCTTTGTTCCAGGACCAGGCCTCTCTTATTCCCAGTGTCCTCTCTGATGGTGGCCAGATGTTTAATGCAGGAGGCTCCAAAAGCTGTTTAATTGTGATTTGCTAAACGTAGGATTATCCGGTCCGGTCGGCCCGCGGTGCCAGTGTGTTTCTCTTCAGATTCAGCCTTTTTGAAGGACCTAACGCAGCCCTCCCCTATCCTCCCTTCCTCCCTCCCTCCAGGGTTCCTGCACCCCCCTGATGGTGGCCACGCTGCACCCACCCTCAGCAGGCATAGCACCCCAGTACTCCCTGCCCCTCGGGCTGGGCGGCGGGGTGGGTCGGCCCACCCTCCTGGAGCACACAGCCACAGTGCTGGTAAAGCAACAAAGAAGAAACACACACATGCACACTACAACTAACAAAGCCATCTCTATCCTGGCCCACTCCTACTTGTTCCATTAATGTTTGCTTTGTTCCCTCCTCCTCCGTGCCACATGTTGTGTTACTCTTTTTTTTCATCTTTTATTTTGCCATAGTCACATGAAGACTTGTTGTCAGACTTATGGTCGCTGGGCTCTTAGTTTGTCGGAAAATTCTAAAAATGTTGATCCTGGACTCAACATTGCAGGGTGTCCGCGGGGTCTTAGAAAGTATTAAAAGTTGATAAATCAATTTAGCGAAAATTAAAGGTGGGGTAGGTAGTCTTGGAGAAACCAGCTCGAGTGCGCTCGAATTTGAAAATACACAAACGGAACAAATCTGCCACTTCCTTACAGAGCCCCTCCTCCAACACACACGAACGCGCACATGACCAATGAGGGCACGAGATAAGTTTGTGCACAGATGGAAGGCTGACAGGCAGGTAGGCCATCCAGTTATTTTAGCCCGGCCGGCTCAAATGATTGGTCGTGCTTTTTACAGTGCTACGGCTTCCACAGATTAATTTGTTTATGGATTTTTTGTCAAAGCACTTCAGATATTCATTGCTATCGGGATGTTAAGAGCATTCCATGGAATATAACAAAAAGTGTATCTCGAGCCGGTTTCTCAAACTTACCTACCCCACCTTTAAGGCTATTAAAAAGTATTAAACCGCATTTTCCAAGGTATTACATTTTGTAGCTTGTTTTCAATAAGTATCTAAATGGTCCAAAGAGGTTTTATTCTACAGTCTGCCTGAATGTAATCATNTTGATTTACCCATAGTTCGCTCATGGAGCCGGGGGTCAGGTTATTCGCCTGCAAGAAAAGGCGCTAGCGCTGGACCGTAGCAGGATGTGACGCATATTTGAGTTGACTTAATTAAAACCGTTTTGTTTTTTATTTATGTGTCACAGTATCACCTCAAAATACAAGATACGAAACATTTTCAACCATGCAAGAAGATATAAATAGTCCTACAAATACTTTTATTTTATTTCCTTCTTATTTTTGTCTAAGCTCAAGGGAGCCAGAGCAGAGGGCTTAATAGGCTGCATGCGGCTCGAGGGCCGCGGGTTGCCGACCCCTGACCTAGTGGGTGTCCGAATAATCGTCTATGCTAAGGTATCCACTGGGCTCACACCTCTAAGCTCACATGTCATCCAGGTATCCGGCGAACGATGTTCACCATAAAACAGCGTTTCTGGTGGCCACTGGCCGCCAGTGGCCACCAGAAACGCTGTTTTATGGTGAACATCGTTCGCCGGATACCTGGATGACATGTGAGCTTAGAGGTGTGAGCCCAGTGGATACCTTAGNAAGCTTTCATAACCCACAGAAACCATCCCGAGGTTCACCTTGAACTAAAACATGGTGGCAGGAAAAGGCACAAATCAGAGAGACCTGTGCCTGCTGTACACACTGTAGTAACTCATGTGAAGAGCTGTTATTCAAAATGTTATATATAGACGCGAGTGAAATGCACATATTCTGGGGTTAATACACCATGTACATTGAATGGACAGATGCACCTTTGACTTATTATAAAGGGTCATAACTGTTAAAGTGGCTCTCATCAGACAGAGTAACACAGAAGCCTATTTGCTAAAAGACCTTATTTTCACCAGGACAGCAGTGTGGGTAGTTTGTTACAACTTTCTAGTGAACATATAAGTGTCATGGGGCGAAAACAGGACAAAATGCTGCCTTTATCGATCATAAAACATTTCAAACTGGCCATAAATCAGTTTTAGTAAATGAGCAGGTCCTACACAATCAGGATTCACAGATATAGAATATTTTTCGGTCCACATAAAACTGGATTTTTTTTAATATTTCAAGGAGAGTAAAGTAGGGAAGAAGGTTAATATTTTCATAAACAATTTAAAACAAAAGCTTTTCACGTCGTTCCTGTGGCTGGTTACTCCCCCTCTGTACTTCAGTTATACATTCAGCACTCAGTTGATGCAGTTCAAAAAAAGAAGTTTCTATTGCATAAGGAGATGATTAATCTTGCCTAAACACTGTCACTACAATAACAGACCATCACATGTGCACTTAAATTAACATGTATCCATCACAGTTTGCACCACATCTTTTCTCTTATTCCACATCTTCTCTGACCTTCTTCTTCTTCTTCCTCCTCCTCCTCCTCCTCTTCCTTTCTCACACCGACAAAACATAATTTAGAACATAGTAAAAAGACATATTTGTGAGTAATCAGACATAGGGTTAAGGTACAGTCATTAATACGTTCGCTAAAAAACACAGGGTTTCATTGGATTAGTGTGAAAACATTAAAACATGGGTCATGAGAAATGAATAATTGCAACTCTTTGTCAGCTAGCCCTTCACTAGCCGTGTGAGTCAGGCGTCTAAAAGCTCGCCTAAAGTGTCAGCTCGTGACAGGAGGATAATCTCTCTTCACACCACACCTCAAGATTATCAGGAGTAAAATACATTTACCACAATGCCATAATTATACATCTGGATAAGATGGGGATAAAATACGGGCGTTAAACAATATTGTTAAAGGGAAAATAAACCAATATAATGTCAAATAATACCATTTTAAAAAACGCCCCGAGAGAGGGATAATGAGTCGACAGAGAGACGCCGCCTTAGAGTCAGAAGCAGCAAACAACAGTTATTCTACTAGAGATACAGTTTGAACTCCCTTTGTCATAGTATGTGGGAAGTAGATTTTTTTTTCTGTGTTAAAAGTGTGTGTGCCCCCCTATAGGTAGGGGTACTGTGTGAGGCGCCGGGGGCTCAGCTGGTAGGCGCTGTAGGCCTCGGCGCGGGGGGTCACGCTGACGTACGGAGAGCCGGCGGCAAACGGGTGTTGGTAGGCTGCGGGCAGGCCGTGCAGCAGGCTGCTGACCGAGTCCTTCCGCCCGGACGGGTCCCTCCTGGAGGACGCTGAGGTGTACGGTGCTGCATAGGCGGAGGGGGAGTGTCCGTGGGGGGCGTGGCCGCGGCTCAGCAGCTGCTCCATGGCCTGAGAGGCAGAGGAGAGGGCCGTGGAGGCGGGGTAGGCGTACAGGCCGGGGCCGGACACCTCGGGGAAGTTGTAGTGAGACGAGACGACCGGAGGGAAGGTCGGCTGGCGGCGCAGAGACGAGTCGCTGTGGGAGCGCTCCTGAGAGGAAGAGACCACCGGCTGGACCTGAGGAGGAGCACAGAGGCATGAGAGCAACGAGGAGGAGAACATCAGCTGTGAGAGCATGCTGTCTGTGCGTGGACTACGTTTAAATGTTTGCTTTGTTTTTATTAATACTGTTTATCATTATGTATTTGTTCATATTCATTTTAGTGTGTTTCATTTCTCAGTGCTCTTCTCATGTTATCTACCTCGCCTGGTTTTATTTCCTTTTGTAAAACACTTTGTTAAATTGTTCAATGGAATTTCTATATAATAATAATAATAATAATAATAATAATAATAATACAGGTGCAAATCCTTTCAAACAGTGTAAGATTTCCAGGGAAGATATCTGACAACATTTTCAGACAAGGCCTAACGTCCATGAACGACTCTACAGCAAAGGCTTTTAAAATATTGGCCCGCCCCGCCCTATTCCCAACACTCCTGTTTCGCATAAACACCTGAGTCACTCCCGAATGATGACTCCGAGAAACCCGTGATTTATTTTCCCCGCACTTCTTTGGGATTATGACTGCTGTTTCTTTGTGTCTACAGATGTCAACATCAATCTGTTGACATAGTGAGCAAATGCGTTTTTCTTTTACCAGTGAACCTGCATCGTTTACCTCCTGGGTTCGGCAAATAAATCAAATTCTTTGCCAACGTCTCACGGCAGTTTAATTAAAAAATAAAACTTTTCAAGACAGAGATGAATGTTGTAAAAACATTACCTGACTCAGGTTTAAAGGGTGTGACTGGCTCGGCAGCAGCCTGTTCCGCTCCATGCTCTCCCCGGAGCTGCAGGGCTGCCGGTTGGATGATCTCTTCGGCTTTATGTAGTTCACTGGAAATGAAAATACATGAGTTATCAAGTTGGGTCAGTCACATCGTAAATAAAATGCATGGTGACACAAACAGATAAAGTTCTCACCAGTGTCCAGGCGTCCACGTGAAGCAGCTCCTCGCTCCGTGCCCTGGGTTTTGACTGAAGGCGCCACCACTGCCAGAGACTTGGCCTGGCGAGACGACGCGCCGCCCGCTGGGTTCAGCGTGCGGGGGAGGGGGGTCAGGGGGCTCGCTGTGGACGAGTCCGAGTCGTGCACCGTCACACAGCTGATGACGTTAGTGCGCTGGCTCAGGCCGACGCTATGGACATGGAGAAACAATGTTATTTTATAAGACCATTAAAGAAGGTTTATTTAAGTATTACAAAAACAAACCAATAAGGCCCTGGTCTGCTAATGAAGTCAAACTATCATCTTACATTAGTCCTTTTTTAGGAAATGGTCAAAATAAAGTGCTAACAAGAATTGGATTAGCAGCTGCATCCAAAAAGATGGCAGACATTAAGATCCTTCTTAATACAAATTCTCCTTTGATGTGCTCCATTAAAATAAGCAGATAAATAAAAAGAGTGAATGGTGCCGAGGCGAGACTCACCTGGCGGGATGAAACTTGCGCTCATCCTCGGTGTCCGTGTCGCTGTGGATGGTGATGATGCTGACAGCCGGGCTGGGTGTGTCGGAGATGACTATGGGCTGCGACCACGCGGCGCTGAGCGGGGGCACACCGCTGCTGCTGAGCAATGACGCGGCAGATATACCCCTGGGAAGAGAAACAATAGAAACGTTGAGTTTTCCCACCAAAAGCAAACATGGTTTCAGCAAACGGCAAAGAAATGTAATCTACGATTAAATAGACAGAGTATTTCCACTGCTCCTTTTCATTAATCTATGGTTGTTGTGTTGACATCTAGTGACGAATAAACTAACTACTGCTAAGGAATTTGTAATTAAATGTGTCAACTTCTCAGAAGAGACTTTAAGGGATAACATCTGCTGGTACAGGATGTGATAGTTATTTTTAGGCATTTGTCATTAAGTGTGAACGTTGAGATGCTGCAGGCTCCACCAACCTGTTCCTGTTCTCTCCCCGTCTGGCCTTCACCTTCTTCCTCTCCTGCTGGCTGCGGCCCTGGGCTGTATTCCTGCGAGGGCCAAAGTACAAACAAGTTAAAGGGAGGGGCACAGCTTAAATCCGAACATGATATATGAACACGAGGAGATCATGTTTGTTTCCACTGACGCAGCTTTAGTTCCCGCACTTTAATCTGTTATTACAGCAAACATTTGAAGTGACTTATGTACTTACTGTAATGCATACACTAAGCCCCAGAGTTGTAAATACTCAGGTCTAAGTACTTAAGTAAAAGTGGAAGAACCAGTGTGTAAGAAGAGTACACTGTACAAGTACATATCCTGTTTTGCAAATGTTACTCAAGTAAAAGTACAAAAATAATTGGCATCAAAACATTTTTTAAGTACCAAAAGTAAAAGTAGAATAATACATATCATATGTTTTGATAATAATTATTGATGCATTCAAGTGTTATCGAAGCAGGTCACTAGTTTTAATTATGTTATACTGCAGGGTAGACAGGATGTAAAGTCTAACTTAAAGTCTTATTTAATTGTCGATTACATGTCGCATCATTAATCCAAATCTGCAAATTAAGCGAAGGTATTAAATAAATGTAGTGGAGTAAAAGTACCAGGTTTGCCTCTGAGTCTGAATGGCAGAAGTACAAAGAAGCAAAAGATGGAAACTATACAGGAAGTAGTACGAGTACAGTGCTTAAAAGTAAATCTACTTACTTTAAAGCACTGGTAACCCCTTGATTAAAAAGGCGCTCCAATGTATTTGTTGTGACATTGAAATGAATGACGAGCGTCTCAAATGTAAAAACTATAAGTTGGTAGTTCATAATTGTAAAAGAAGAATGAGACTGTTCAGACTGACGAGTGGTGGACCGACCTCCAGCTGTGTCCCTGCTGCGCGGCAGCTTCTGAGTGAAGTGTTTCCAGGGGGGACTCGGGGACAGTGGACTGGTGGGCGGAGCTGTGGATGGCCACGCCCGGGACCTGCTGCCATGACGACGGGATGAGGATCTGCTGCGTGCCAGTGGGCCAGGCCTGCTGAGAGAAACAACAGACGCTCACACTTCAGTACATCTACTATCAACGATCAGATATTAATGCGTAAACACAACTTATGTGATCGCTGGAATGGACCAGACAGACTGAGCCATGCTGAGAAACAAGTCCAAACAACAAATGTCTTCCGCAGGCATGAGCACAGATAGATAAGCGAGCAACCTTTCCCAAGCCATTCCCTTAATAAAGCTTTGCCCTGCAACAAAAATGGACGAGATGATATCATGCAAAGCCCAAACAATGAAGCACTGTAAACAGTCAGACGGGGGATAAAGACAAGAAGACACAGGAGCACGGAGCCTGTTAAAGAAGAAACACTGAAGAAAGAGATTAGTTCAGTCCACTGATGCCACACAGTCTGCTGATAAGCTGTGTGGGGAGAAGGCATGCCACATGTTCGGGGGCTGAAACAAAAGATGCGTGTCAGAGAGTCGGGGGGGGGGGGCTTTAGTGGGCTTTGTAGCTGCAACCTCCTTTGCTGTAAACAAGGAAGGACGGGACAAGGGAAGCTGCAAGCAAAGCACAGACCAACAGCAGCACATGCTCCATGCCCTCAGCACACCTATGGGGAGAGACTGGGGGGAGGAGTGAATGGTATGGGGAGGGGCTGTCCTTTGGAATGGATAAACGATTTGGCAATTCTGGTTTCATGTCAAAAGGGGATTTGAAAAAAGTATAAAAAAAGGACAATGCAGGGTATAAGCAGGAATCCTGAAGTCAAATGTAAAACCTTTTAAGACCTTTTTTAAGACCCTTTACACACATTTTAAGACCTCATCACCACTTTGAGTTTTAACCGGTTACATTGGCGACACACTTTACCTCACATTCACTATATATAGTATTGATTGTCCTTCCTCCTTATCTTCCAACCATTTGGACGCAGACTTGCATTTCCCCATAACGATGTTGTTTAACAACCGGCGTAAACGGACCT